CTGTGCAAGAGTCCAGCCAAACCGATAGGTTCTTTTGAAGTATCTTACACAGCCTGGCAGACTCTTTTATGTTGTCAATACCACTGCAAAAGTCTCTATAAAGACTTAGTTTTGGCGTAAGGTTTGGCCTCTTGCACAGAAGTTCTGTGAACCTTTTACGATGCTTGTCAAGCTCAGAGTTCCACCGTTGGACCTCTTTTCCCTGCCTGCTTCTTCTTAGCGCACAAAGTAACCAACTAAAGTAATGGTAACATTGCTGGTCGCCCCTTTAATTAATTTAATGGTTTTGAGTTTAGGGAGTTCTAACATTCTCGTATCGGGGCGCAACTCAAACTTTTCCCAGTCCGCCTTTCGAGGTCTCCAACCTTTTAGCACTTGGCAAGTTTCAGTTCTAAGTCGAAATTCAATGAATCGATAATCAGATAGAGACTCCTTGTCCTAGGCGATATATCACTTCATCATCACTGTCTTCTGTTGAAAAAAGTAGGTTTGTTAGATATATAGTAAATATGTAGTGGCAGGTATTAGTTAAGTACCGTAGAGTGGTACAGTAAGTAGTAAGTAGAAAATATTTAATGAGTGGTAAGTATTCATTATGAAGAAGAAAGTAGTAACTAATAAGTGGAAGTAGTAACTAGTTAATCAATGAAAAGTAAAGCTTCAGCTGTCAATTTTAATAAAAAAAACTTCACTTACTACCACCTTACAGATGCCCAAGGATTTACAGCTACAGCTGTTACTTTTGTAGCAGTACATATAATTTGGTGTATTCTGGCAATTTTCGGTGCATTGAAGGTGAGTGCCAATTTAGTACCTTAAGGAAAATATCCAAAGATTTTGAAGTGAATCTTCTCTCCACTGGGCTCTAATTTCCCACTGCAAAGAAATGAAAAAGCAACAGAGGAAGGTGGGGATGGCGAGGGTGGTTGGGCATGATCGACATTAAGATTAAGTCTAAGATTGAGATTAAGATTACGATTAATATAAAGATTATGATTGAGATTGAGCTAAAGATTAAGATTAATATTTAGATTTAGACCAAGGTTTAGATGAAGCTTAAGATTATGATTAAGATTAATATTAATATTAATACATCTAAAAATAAGATTCAGATTGAGCTTAAGATTAAAATGAAGATTGAAATCAAAATCACGATTAAGATTAACATTAAGAATAAGATTAAGATAAAGGCTAAGATTAAAATTGAGATTAAGATTAAGTTATTTGTTTTTGTTATTTATGGCTTTATAACAATTATATTAAAGAATTTTATTGAGCTTGAGGCCGTTTATAATTAAAACTATTTTGAAATAAATTATTGTTGTTTTTCCACAATAGTTTTCATTAAAAAGGCCTCAAGTTCAATAAAATTGTTGTATTAAGATTAAGATTAAGATTGAGATTAATTTTAAGATTAAGATTATGATTTAGATTAAGATTAATATTAAGATTAAGTTTAAGACTTAGATTAATATTAAGATTGAGGTTAAGATTAAGATTAAAATTATGGTTAAGATTAAGACTAAGATTAAAATTTATATTTATGTTAAGATTAAATTTAAAATAAGGTTGAGATTTTAATTAAGATGTCGATTGAGATTAAGATTTAGCTAATCGTACTTTATTATGTAGAAAACGTCTCATTTAATATGGTGGGCTTCGTACGTCTGTATACACGGGTAATAAGAGGTTTCACTTCAATCGCGTGCGGAATCCACCCACAGCTATTTTTACCGTATGTATTAAAAAAACTTACCTTACTTTTTCTCTCCCTGATTGTAGCTTAAGAAATGGTTTTTACTTCCCTTCATGATCAGCGAGTTTATACGTGTGATGCAGGCCTGCGCTACGCATATCATTCTGATGATTATCTTGAAGAAGAAACTAAATTTAGGCATCTTGATCGCCTTAACCTTGCTGGGTGGTTTCCTTATATGTAAGTAGGCATTTTTGGTAAATTTTCTTAGAACCTAATTTTGAAATGTAATTTTTTTTTCTTGCTCACTTGCTTAGTATACCTTGGCTACAATTGGGCCACCAGTGTTGCTCTCTTTCAAATCATCGAACTCGTACACACTGCGCGCTATCGCAAACTCTATGGTGATGATCCATTCAATCCGCAAATACCGCCAAGCTATGCAAATGCTTCGCTACAACATGCCTATGGTACAGTAGAGAATGTGCGCGTGCTGGTCACACCAAGTAGCGGTGATATTGATGAGCAGAAACGACGGCAAGGCAAAGCGTTGACCACAGCCATGCCAGTAATCGCGGTTTTACCTGCAAATTATAGAAATTCGTATGGGCCACAAGTGGAAAAGAAGCAACGCAATTCTGCACAACAGCCACAATTGCAACCACAAGCTTACAAGACATATGAGTCAGAACAGAATGAGTACAATGCTGAATTTAATAATTGGCAATGGTCGGAGTTAATGGTCGGAAGACAACGAAAGGCGATGATGATTAAGCCGAATTGGTAAAAAATGGGCACGGAATTCTGTTTGTATGGAACGCGGAACCGGTTTAGAGGAGAAAATATTGCAAAGTTATACTAAAATTATTATAGATATTTTGTGACTACACATAAGTGAATAAAATGGCAGAGGCTGTAAAGTGGATAAATCTTTATTTCTTTACATGGAAGATTGTCGCGACTGATGTCCAGATATTGAACCAAATGCAAGATTGTTATACGTATAGAGTCAGCAAAAAAAGGAACCATCTCTCCCAATGCAATAGGATCAAAGGATCCGTTGACCTTGACATGATCAGACCATCATTAGACCACCTTTCCTTAGCCCAATAGTCATGATGATTAATAAATCTTCTGGTTAAACTTCCGTGGACCACTGCACCTACGTGTCAAAACTTAATAAAATTTAATTGACACGGCTTTGATAAAGTATCTTCACAATGAGCTCAGCATACTTCGTCCTATTCGGATGGCCAGGGGAAATTACGACCAACCAATTTCAAGGGCGAAGCCAGACCAATCCCGGTGATGCATGCAGGCATACGGCATTTTAGTTTGCAGATTCGGCAACTGGTTTACTAATAAAAACCCTAAAGTGAAAAAGAGTTGAAACCCAGCTGGAGGGCTTTTAAGTTTTCCTTTTATGTGTGTGAGCTTTGGTTAGTCGTTAGATTCAGACCAACCCGAGAAAACGTAATAGCGAATAAGAACAATTCACTCGATAACCACGTTTTGTCATCCGGAAATATGTGTGAGCTATTGAAGCGGGCAATTCTTCGGTAGATGCCAAGCGTCAAGAGGGCTGGAGCCAATGCAAACCTTGACAGAGTTTGTTAACTAACTTGGACCGAAGAATAAGGGTCAAATCAGGTAAATATGTCAAAACGAGGAGTTGTATCCACAGATAAATCACACTTCGGCAACAGAGAAAACAGCGAAGGTTTGCTGCTGGCGTACTTTCCTTCGTGCCGAGAACGAAGTTTCGCCAGCAACGCTAATCCAGACCGGTTGGAAATTCCCAAGTGTTTTAACCGCAATCTAGTAAAAGCTAGGCAATCTTAAAGGAAATATTGTCACCCAGATCCGGTGTGATGTTTTGTTAAACTTTCTGAGTCCTTATCCGACAGTGTTCTGTTAATACATACACCAGAATTGAGATAATTAGCTTTGCGCGAAATTCACAAAATGTTAAGGGAACTCCGACTCTCTCTTTTTTTTCCTGATGATACTTGCTCGAGGGTGCCACGTCTGGCCACTTCGTTAGCCAAACAATTTCCCTCGATATCAATATTGCCTTGCAACCTTACAAGTCTGACAAGTTAATACTCCTAAGCGACCGACAGAGTAGTCCAGAGTTTCCTTACAGGAGATATGGATCTCTCGAACCGCACAACAGCAGCCAATTGATGCTGATGTCAGATAGTTGTACTGGCTCCAACTTACCGACTAGCGTATAAGTACTTCTCAAGTGAATTCCACCAGACAAAGAATAAATATATATAAAATATAATGGGGTTAAGAATAGTTTTATTTAAACAGGAAATAATTTTGGGAGAGAAGCCCCATCTCTTACCTGCATACGTATTTTGCCCTAGTAACTGTATTCAGCCACTAAAGCCGCCTTCGCTCTTTCTCTTCGATATTATCTTACCATCTAAAATCAATCCCAAGTATTTGACTGTATCAGAAAGTGCCAGGCAAATGCCTCCAATCGAAGGTCTAGTCGCTTGAGGTACCTTATACCTACTAAATAGTGAACAAAAACGAGATTGATCTTAGTGATGCTGTTACATTTACATCTTGAGGAAGGGGAAGCATCCTTGATCTCATACGCTCACGATTGTTTGGCTTTGGTAGCCTACTATGCACTTGACGACCTGCGATCGAAATATTGGTAATATTATGCTCTTCAGCGCCTTACTTTCTCTCCGTCTAAAGCCCTCATACCGACATAGTGAGTTTCTACTCCTGTCTATAGTCGAACAAAATACGATGCTTTGTTGCCATTTTATTTGGCGACCGTTAAGTCCTGATAAGCGATTGGCACTCAGTGTCAAGTCAGCTAGTGTATTTCTATCAAGTAGAAGCTATTCGTAAAAATTATGTCTTTCAGAAGCTGGGTACACTTGAAGAAACTAGCTAGACGAGCGCAGCAAATATTTATTTTACTTTTCAATCAATTCCTTTTCGTTTACTATCGAAACTATGATCCCAGGAGGCATATGCTAGAAGCTGACCTATATTTCGCGCATGTCAGAATCTGCGATGTAAATACAGGCTATCACTGGCATTCTCCAAGTGTAGATATTTGGGTTTTTTTTAATGGGATTTACAAGAAATTCTAACTACTAAGATCGTAAAAATGCGCATTTCATTATTCAGGACATATCGGAGTGGGAATGCCCGTGCTTAAAAAACGTTTAATTATCTGTTCATATAGGTTTGTAGCTGTCTTCATTCGGTGTTTATTGTAGCTTTATATTAACTTATTAATAGGCAATAATATTGAAATAAACGAAAACCCTTTCAAATAATATCTAAAAGTTTTTTAGTTAATTTATTAAATACAGTAATTGTATGCTTAGTACTAAAATTACAACTGAAAGCTAGGCGAAAAATTCTTATTATAAATAGATACACGTTTTTTATATTTAAATATCACGTTCGGCATTTGTTATTGATGCCATATAAAATTTTATACTCCGGTTGTATTACATTCTTAATGAGTCTATTCGTGCCTGGTACATATTTGAGACGTGGAGAATTTCTAACGAAATATTTTATACCCGGCGAGTGAACCAAAAATGCCGGATGAAGTACGAAATAATCATATCCCAGTAAGCACATGGCATAGCCCTGTAAATAAAAAATTAAAGCACAAAATAAGAAATAAGTAATAATGTATACATACATGTGGCAAATATTTCTATTTTTTAAATGGGACCACGTATTCCACTGGGATAGTAGGTAAGCACCTTACGAGGTAATCCATGTTTTATTTCAGCTTTTAGTATCAAAATTATCAACATGAACACCTCGCACGACGCATTACGCGGTCAGTTACAAAATAACGTGCCGCCGAAGTTATTTCCAAGCGACGAACCACTCCGAGCGACTGCTCTACATTCTACGTACTTTATAAAGTGGGTCTGAAATATGTGCTTTACTAATATATGCCATTGGTCATGATAACCATTTTGGTACTAAAAGCTGAGGGAAAACATGGATTACTTCGTAAGGTGCTTACCTATTTTCCCAGTGGGTATACAATGTTCCGACGCGCCGAATAAATTTCATAATGGCTCCACTAGTAAGGAAGAAAGTACATATATTTTAATGCAGCACAAGAGGAAGATAGTAGCTATAGAGGCGACTACCGACAATGCAACAGCTCATCGCGCAAGCATCGTGGACCTCCCAATGCCTCTGATCCAACAATATAGTGTTTCTTAGTTAACGATCACTTATCCAACCAGAAACCTTAAATAACCATAGCCGAGCCGAGCAGATCGGGCTGGCTAGCCAGCTCGTGGACCGCGACACGGTGTGCGCTGAAATCCAGTACAGATGTACGTCTGTGATAGTACATAGCACATCTAAACCTGCCCTGTACTCTGCCGCCCATCTTGAGGAAGTGTGGTGCACTTTTATCGCAGCCTAAGTATCGATGGGGTATAGTCGTTGTTCTGGTATGCAGTAACAGTTGCACGGCTATACTCAATCTCGACTCTTGCGTCCTTGTTCGCGCACTCTGGGCAACGAGAGCAACCCATGTGCGAGCTGCGGTAACCAATCCGAGTGGAGCCTTTGGTCACGTCAGAAAGATAGTGAGCTTCGGTGGGGCCACTCCGACTTATTCGGTTTATGGGCTCACTGATGTCTGCAGCGTGTGTTCTCCACTTGCTAAGGCTGCAAGCGGGTGTCTGCCTTGGAGCAAGCGGCTTGCCATATAAACTTGCATTCGGTTGCGAAACTACCCTTGCCCCAGCAATGGGTTGTGCGCTGGGTTTGGAACCCGCCACGTAAAAACAGGCTCCAATGAAAAGGAGACACAAAGCTTCGGATGACCAGCGCCAAATAAGGAAAAAAAGAAATCTCGATACAGAGATTTACCATTATATTGTTTCGATTGCTGCTCAGTAGCTCCACCGTCGTCTGTATGGATAATACTTCTGCCTGGAAACTACTGCAATGGTCCGGAAGTTTATAGGATTAATTCAAATCGAGCTCCGCGCAAGTAACTTCCGGGCCTAAGTCCTTTGAACATCTTCGACGCGTCCGTACAAACATTTACCGAATGAGGATTTGTCATGATTTCACGACAGCCTTCGACCTCTATAGTAGAGAAATCGTTTTCTCCGCACTACACTGCATGATACCGGATTTCAGCGGGATTTTCTGATTCAATATTTTAACGTCAATATTAAGAAATAATCCCAGCTGCACCCTCTAATTTGCCTCTAAGCGCCCAAGGCCATCGTGGCCAGAATATTTGAACAGAGAACAAAGATCTCGGTCCCCATGGGACCCTAAGAATATACCAAGAGGATGTCTACGTCATTAGTCTGTGCGCAGAGATATATCTTTAACGAAGATATCACAACGAAAATATTTTAATATTAAGCAATATTCAGGCCGGGCTATTGCGCGGATATAATAGGAAAAGATAAACAATATACCAATGAAGAATTCTAGAGGGTATCTTAACAGATCATTGCTGATTAAGAAGTCACCTGCATAAACTCGGGATCTGGTCTAGCGATTTATGCAATTCTCTGACAATGCAGGCAGGCAAGCAGGAGCCTACTTCGAGGATTCCGAGGCTGTCATACTAGAATACCCGCTGGGAGTCGTTCAAAGAAAAATTAGTTAGGTAAAGGACAGAAGTATTTAGATTATAGTAGCTGTTAAGTGGCACTGGCCAAGAGGCAAACACGCAGCGAGAATGGGGCTTCGGTATATCCATATCTCCTATAGACGGTGTTGGCAAATTTTTTAGGGAATTAGGGAATGAGTGGATCAAAGCTGTTTTCCCAGTGCGAGTAGTGTGGCGAACATTTGCAAGCAGTCTCCAGATCAGTGGCCAAATGGAAGATCGACCTTTGTGTCTCGGCAGCCGGTTCGAAAACGCCCTATCTCAGAAAATGGTCACAAATCGCCGATTTGACTGCCGATATATTAAATTTACATCAAGATACAGTGTTCTTCAAACATTTCCTGAGTTGGGGCGTTCTTCAACCAAATTCTGAGACATGGCATCCTTCAAACAAGTTTTGAAATAGGGTGTTCTTGAAAAATGTGCGTGCCTTTTTTGAACCAGCTTTCGATACAGGTCGGTCTTTCACTCAGCCATCGATATAGGTTCTTAGCATAAACGATTGATCTACTGCATATCCTCTTCCAATAACTCTTTTGTAGCCGTCCTAAAAGCATTGTTTTTAGAATCCAATGGCTTTATTAGCGGCTTCTCAAGAACTGGTTCACTTTTATTGATCAGATAACCTCCAGCTCTCTTTAACAAATATGTTTTTTCACTTTTTCATCGTACGTTCTTCATACGCTGTGCCGAAGAAGTATCTTAAGCTATGTATCCCTGAACTTTGGATTATAACTTTTCGAACTTAAAAAAGGCCCAGAATTGTATGCACGAATTTTTTTCAAAGTCTTTTATGAATTTGATAGCCTAAAGGTACCATTTCGTCTATGTATTTAGAAGTTTTGAAAAGATTCAATACTAATTTCAACACTCACCTGTATCCGCTTATTCGATTGTCCTTCCCATGTCACACGCTCATCGAATACGGGCTCGTGATTATCGCTTATGTAGAAAGGTTCCCAGATCTTGAAATTTCCTTCTCGCTTTGTTTGCGAAAAAAGAGTTAACTCTTCAGCATCCGAAGCATTTTCCCATTTGCTTTGCATTGGCACCAAATGACACAGTTTACATAAATTTGAATGAAAATGTATCGCGGTTTTATTGCGCAACATTTCTACTAAATAAGTTTTATTTTCAGGCACTTCGCTCTCCTTGGTTACCTCAAAAACGGGAATTGTAAAGACGCTGAAAATCGTACATGAAAAAAATTTATATTTTAAAAACAAAGAAAAAAAACCAAGGCATTCATAACTTAACAACTTACCGATTCGGATTGGCCTCCAAATATACGCTTCGATTGCGCTCGACCATCTCCAAAAAGAGGCGCGGTAAATCAGGCGATGGTATCAATTCAATATCTGATGCGAAAATAAAATGTGTATTGACAGCTTTGCGTGCTATATTACGTCCAACATTGATAGGATAAGTCATATTGTGCCGCGTCTTGTACATCGCAGTACGATTGACATTTTCATATGGCGGTACGTCATCACAATCGTAAGGCCAGCGCAAGGCTTCCTCCTCAGTCAGCGGTATATACTTGGGCATATCGGTTGCCGGAAAGTAAATATGGAAAGTGACATAATCTCGTATGTACTGACTTTCAGGTAGACAATTTCGCACAAATTGAATGCAACTCAAGGTGACATCGAAATCGTAGCCGGGCGCGAAGAGTGCAAAACTCAGGGGAGCTTGCCAACTAGCGATGAGAAGAACATAAAATACAATAAACAATAAAAGAAGAAGTATCAGAGTAGGTATAGTAGAAGTTCGACTTGAAGATGTGGTCATCTGCGAAATATCAAAAAGGTTAAATGCTACTAGTAAGGCATAGATTCGGATTAGGATATTTTTAAGAGAGTTTCCACCTTTTTTAAAAAAAAATTCAAATAAATTAATTAATAGGTTAAATAAAGTAGTACAATATCGGTGTCAAAAACGATTTATTTCAAAAAAATTATTGCAGGTGCCTCATGTTCAAAAATATAAAATCAATTTGACTAAATAGTTAAATAAAATACTCTAATAAGAGTTTAAAACGTCAAGAAATCATCGTCATTACGAGAAAATATTTTTGTCAGGGTGGCCAACTGTTAAAAAGTGTCAAATAAATTAAATAAGAAGTTTAACGAAACTGTTTTCATATGGGTACCAAACTATAAAGGCTAAAGCAAGCTTTAGTTCGAAAATATATTTTAAAAAAGTTGCCACCTATTCCGAAAGATAAAATCAGAGCTTTGTTTCAAATATATTTTTGAACAGGGTGGTAACCTTTTTCAAAATTTAAAATCAACTTCACAACGAATATATATTTTAAAAAAAAGTTGCCACCTGTTCAAAAAGATAAAATCAAGGCTTGGTTTCGAAAATATATTTGTCAGGGTGGCCAACCGTTAAAAAGCTTCCAATAAATATAATTAACAAGTTGAATTATATTCTTTTCATCTAGGTATCAAACGAGAAAGTTTTAAGAAAGCTTTATTACGGAAATATGTTTAAAAAGTTGCCGCCTGTTAAAAAAAGATAATAAAATCAATTTCGTTTTCAGGTGAAATATAGTCTTTTCCTAAGAGTTTAAAACGACAGAGGCTTAAAAATGCTTGGTTTCGAAAATATGTTTGAACAGGGTTGCCACCTTTTAAAAAATTAAAATCAATTTCATTAACAACTTAAATGAAATATTTTCATATGGGTATCGAAGAAGAGAGATTTAAGAAAGCTAAATTCGAATGTATTTCCGAATAGGTTGGCTACCTGTATAGAAATTCAAATACACCTTAATTAAAACGCTTAAATGCACTATTTTAATTTGGGTATCGAAAGAGAGAGATTTTAGGAAGCTTACTTTAAAATTTTTTTGAATAGAGTTAAATATTCCAAAGTAATTTAATTAGCAAGTTAAATTAAATATCTTAATAAAATCTAATATCAAATGAAAGAGGCTTAAGAAAACTTTATTTGGAAGATATTTTTGAAGTAGGTTTCCACATTTTCATAACTTCAAAATCAATTTAATTAAAATAGTTCAGATATTTCAATACTAGCCCGCCACATATGCGCAAGAATGTGATCCTAAAATTTTTTAGAAAGATGGCAACTACCTTAAAAAAAAATAAAACCTTTTATAGCACATTTGCAGACCAAATCCTTTCATTTGATACCTTACAACAAGTTGAATGAAATACTTTAATATGGCTATTAAACATTCGAGATTTAAAAAAAAAGCTTTATTCAAGACTAATTACGAAGAGAGTTGCCACCTGTTAGAAATTCAAAATAAATTTAATTGCAAAATTTAAACGAAATATTTTAATGTGAGTACTAGGAAAAGGCAAATATCGAGACTGACTTAATTAAGATAAACATCCAAGTAAAAACATTAAATTGATCTACGTATATCGTTTGGTTTAACCGATTGAGGTGCAGCTGTAACATTTGATCATCTGAGCGGGACCACAGCTAAAAGCTACTGCGGACATATGTATGTAAAAATTTTAAATAATACTCACCGTTCAATCAGAACTGGCAAACTATCGAAGAATGTATAATCGCCATTTGTGGTCAATGTAATACTATCGGCACAACCTATCCATGTGCTCACTTCGCCACGTATATAATTTTGCACCAACCAATACTTGCCATACTGTATCTTCTCCAACTTCAACGGACGATCAACACAATGCAGCAATTCCTTCAAACGTTCTCCCAGTGTGGACTTCTGCGCCAACTCTCTCAATGCTTCACTATCATTTGGTTCCTCCTCGAAAAGTTCTTCTTCAATAACTTTATTTTGTTGCTGTACATAATCTGCCTCTTTCGATTTCAAGTCCTCTTCTATAATACCTTCTCCCAGCGAGGGTGTTACGATTAACACTTCCAATTCACGGCTGTCATCGGGTTCGGCTAATTTGCGACGTTGCAACTCTTTCTCGAATAGCTCATCGCCGAAGAAGACTTCGTCAGCAGTTCTATTTAATTGTTGTATATTACTGAATGTTATACCCTCTTGTATGGCAATGCTGGCACGAAAGGCATGTCTCATAAAGACAAAGAAGCCAATGAGGATAAATAAGGAGAATACGAGTACTGGAAAGTCGCGTTTTAGCATTTTAAAATAGGGAGTAGCAGTATTAAACTGGTTGTGCTTTTTTACTTGTATCATGGATTGCTGGAAAATAAGAAAAGTACGTTTTTATCAATTTATTTTTCTGATTATTATTATTGTTATTATTAGGGCATATTGTGCTAACTCTTATCTAGTCACCCCAACCTTAGCATATTAAGCACATTGGAGGTTGTCATGTTCATGATTCTGAATGGTGTATAAATCTAACCCTGGCATTCAGTAAGCGGTCTCTAGTCACTAATAGTGACTTTTGGTGGTGAACTTGGATTTTGAGACTACTTGGTACTCAGTACGTTGTCTCACGTCTCTAGTCTCGAAAAAAGTCACTAATTTGTCAGCTGACTAAGAGCAGGTCTCAAAAATAAAAACTTGGAGAAAAATTAATTGCTTTCCATTTTATTTAAAAAAAAACGCGAATATGAAGCGAGGAAATTTGTTCAATAAAAATTTCGTTAGGAAATAAACCAAAATGCTTTAATATCATACAAATCCATTGAAAATAAAAATTATTTTTTTTTTACATTAAAATCTAAAGATTATTAAGAAAAATAAAACTAATAAAAAAAGTAATAATAAATAAAAAAAAAATATAAAAAAATCCTCTACGCCCGAGGAGTACTCGAACCCGGACCCTCTCGACCGGCAGCATACATAAACGCTATCAGTTGACTGTCTGTGTTTGTTTTCACCACACATTTTTGGTGAACTTTTTGTGACTCTCTCCTACTGAATAGCCAAATCATCTCAAGTCACAAAAATAGTCACTAATTTCTAATCTCAAATTTAATGACTTGAGATGAGACTTAATTACTGAATCCCAGAGTACGTCGCACTATATGCGGGCAGTCTGCTGTCAGGTATACGGTGAGAGTTATTAAACCATCTCTGCTAAAATTTAATAGCCGCTCCAAGATTCCACGAGTTATGAATCTTTTGGGCTGCCTTTTGCTCTTTGTCGTGCGCTATTTGTTTGCAATTTGCAAGTCCTATCATCCACTTAAAAGCTTTGTGGTTTGGCTCGGAACCCACCACAAGGTTACTCTATTGAATCATGAGAATTTATATGTATCTTTAAATTTATAAAATAGCCTTTCGATCGTGAGTTTTTCTTTTACAAAGTGACAAAAAAAACATTATTTTTGCCTAATATGCATGCATTCATACATACATATATAGATATGGATGTACGTAGTAAACAACATACTAAAAAATTAAGAGATTTACTAATTAAACATCAGGACTTAAGCTGGATTTGTATATAAAATGATTCTGCAAGAATTTGCTTTGATTTAATACATGGGCTGTAGATGTGCAATAATGTTTTACTTTTTCGAAAAGAGTTGACGTCTGTTAAGCAATTAAACTCGAATTATTTCATTGTCAATGCCACCAGGTGCACACCGTTCATTGGAATTTCAAAGGTGAAGAGTCAAATTATATAATATCTAAAAAGTTAAAATAATTAAAAAAAAAATGGATATACATAAATCGCACTGTTTTTGAGAAGCTTTGTTTATTAACTTAATTGTAGGAGGGTTCCCACCTCTTAAAAAAAAAATCCAATTGTGTCAAATGAAAGAGTGTTAAGAAATATTGAGCTTCAACAACTAGAAATATTTCCAAAGTCTTTGAAGAGGGTTGTCACCTGTTTACAAATTTAAATTATTTAAAAAGTTATATGAATTACTTAAATATGGGTTCAATCGAAATGGGCTTAAAAAGGCTTTATTTCTGAAGTATATTCAGACAGTTGCCACATGTTTCAACTTAATGTTAATTGAAATATTTATCGCAATGTCAGACGAAAGAAATTTTAGAAAGTTTTAGCTTGAATAAGCTTTGGAAGAGGATTGCCACCTATATGAAAAGTCGAATTTTGTTAACGTATATCTAAGTTTTAAGAAGTATCAAAACATTAGTGTCCATCGTAAGAGACTTATGAAAGCTTTAGTTTGTAGATCTAATCTATACATGTAATAAAATTGTAACGGGCCGATGTCTGCACATTTTAGATACTAAAGAAAAATTAATATAGGGGTGAAGCCAAATTAACAATTTTTGAGAATTTTTGTCTGTCTGTCCGTTTGTCTGTATGTATGTATGTATGTTTGAATGCTCATCACTCGAAAACTAATGCATGGAATTGAATCAGGTTTTCACCGATGTATTTCCAGAGATCTAGCTTAAAATATTGAAAGAAAAAATTTTTAGAGTTGCCACTTGTTTGAAAATTACAGTTTGAGTAAATTGATAAGATAAATTAAATTTTGCAATAAGGCTGGCATAAGAAAAAGGTTTAAGAAGGCTTACAGCCGAAAATATCTTTTTTGGATATTGCCACATGTTTTTTTTTTATTTAATTTCTTTGAAAAGATAATTTAAGTATTGCAATATGGATATCGAACCGAAGAGGTAAAGGAAAGTTTACTGCCGAAAAAATTTAGAGAAGGGCTGCCACCTGTTTTTATTTAAATGAATTGATAAAATAAATGAAATTTTACAAGACGGCTATCAAATAACACAAACTTATTTTAATACGCAGTGAAGCACGACGGCTATTTGCTCGTTGAGTATACATGTACATATTATACTTACGGTGACCATTCGTACCGATTTTGGCGGGAAAGTACCGATTTTGAGAAAATTGTCCCGCTGAAAATTTTTTTAAAGTCAAGACGTATAAGTGTCCGGATTTTTCATATTATTATCGACTAAATCCCGATTTTAAATGTTTTTTTTTTTTGTTTATTTAATCATAGTTTCCCTGAACTTTGGCCAAAAAATAATTTTCCGTACAGCACTTTCGTTATTATCACAATGGACATAGAATATAAGGGAGCCATAAACATATCCAGCATCTTTATTTTCTATGATCTTTGGTTAGGCTTTATTCTGTCAAACTGGTACTCTCGCCTTGTCCAAATTTTTTTTAAGGTTTTTATAATTATTTGTCGGCCGCTGTGGTGTAGTGGTAAGCAGTACGCGCTTCCACTCCGCAGCTCCCGGGCTCAAACCCTGGTCGAAGCAACATCGCAAAAAAATATAGAAAAAAGGTTTTTTCTTAACAGCGGTCGTCCGTCGGCAGGCAATGGCAAACCTCCGAGTGTATTTCTGCCATGAAAAACAGCTTCTCATAAAAATACAATCGCCGTTCGGAGTCGGCGTAAAACTGTAGGTCCCTCCGCTTTGTGTGACAACATCAAGGCGCACGCCAAAAGTTGGAGGAGAAGCTCGACAAATTTTCATCAAAATTTGGAGCTTTTTAATTAGATTTCTTAAAAAATTCTAGGTATACAGTTTTTCAGCTCCTTAGTTGCAAAGTGCAAATTTTAAGTACCGTTCATTTTTAGTATTTTTTTTCTTTTTTTGTAAGGTGTTGCCCATTTGCTCCATACATAAATTGTTTAACATACTTTGTATGAAAGAAAATGCGCGAATGAAAAATTTTCCAAAATTAACGGTAAGTCCAAGATACTTCAAACAAGCACTTTATTATACTAAAATTTAATGGGTTACGAAACTGCAACAGCATTGTTTTGAATAGATCTAGAAAATCTGATTCAAATTGTCACCAACATTCATTAAAATTCATCGAATTTTTATAAATTTTCTACAAAGTTTGAAACTTTTTGTTTAGCAGTAAGTTATATTTTCATAAAAAAAAATAAACATTTTTTAAACAAAGGAAAGTAGCCTTAACTTGCTTAAGTTTCTTACATATATTGTGTGTATAAATTTTGCGATCGATTTTCAAGTTATTTTCTCTTTGTCTTGTTTTAAATAAAGCTGTATTAAAAGATGTTATAGCTTCAAATTCTAAAAACAAAATTCTATGTGCAGATTCGATGCTTTAGAAATGTCCCGGTTTTTGGCCGCAGAAATCTGGTCACCGTAATTATACTAGAAGACATTTTTCGTGAAGGTAATTACATTTCCACCGTTCTTTCGCCTTTCAAAGTAAAAGAGGTCAAAGTAAAGTCCTTGGCCTTTAGATGTGCAATAAGGTTTTCATTTTTTAAGTTCGAATTTTTTATCGGTACAGTGTGATTTGTATTTTGATGATATTCAAAACCGACACTAGGTGAAATATTGTACTCGGATCGCTTATAACTTTGACTAACATTTGAAAACAATCACCACTTTTTTTCATAAATATTTTCTGGTTATAATACTAAAAACAGCACTTTAGTGTTGTTTTTTGTTTTTTTTTTTTTGAATCTTGAAAACTCGTAAATTATACATACATATTAAACTGACATTCGACATCGATCGATTCGTTGCAATGAAGCAATGAATTTTTGAATTCGGAATTTTTTATCTGACAAATTTTTGCCATAAAATTTAATTGCGTCAGATTTGCGAAAACAAAACAAAGAATTCCAAGTGTTCGTATTCTTGAACTTGAGCAAAATCAAAAAGAAGCTTGTCAAAGCCCTCATTAACGGTTACAGTGTATTAATAACGCCTCAGACACTTCGATTTTTTTTTTCTTTTGTTATTTAATAACAATATTTTTTTAACGTACACATATTTAAGACGCTTTACTTTTCGGAATCATCTTTATTTAAATATTTAGCAATTGAAGATTTTAAACCTAGGAAATCTTCTTGTAAATATTTAAAAATTTATTTTCTTGCGCGCCGCTTAACGCGTAAACTTTCGAACATTTCCGCGTAACTTGTGCGCGCCTACTGCGACTACTACGATATCCAACAGCTGAGCGTAATCTCAAGTGCAACTGTACGTTCGTAATGATAATCGAAAGTTTAGAAAATGCCTACCTACATAAATGTTCGTACATTTGTATTTGTATTTGCATATGTACATACATACATATGCAGTAGTACCTATCTACGTTATTTCCACGATAACGCTGAGCATGTGCGCCGCGTAAAATACTTTGTGCGACTAAGTACGGAAATAATTATTAAGCTAAATTAACAAAAACGTAAATAGATCTTTCCACATGCACACATACTACATACATATTTACTTATGCGCATGCACTTTTTTAAATGTGTTTTAAATACTTAGTC